CCGGCGCGAGTTGGCGCGCGAAGCGGCGGCGTCGCGGTCAGCAGCTACGCCGGAGGCTTTCAGTGGCGGCGGACGGGGAAGGGTCGAAGCGTTGGCAGCAGCAGCGTTAGGGTGGAGGGTGTTCTCGCTATTTATAACTGATTTAATGGAAGGTTTGAAGGGGCGCGGAGCTGGGGGAACAGTTGCTCGCCAGGAATTTGGCTGGAAGGATGCGAGCGCGGAGACGCGTTGAGCGGTGCCAGCTCTGATTGTGCTATTCTGCTGAGCCGGGCTGGAGGGGACGTGCTCAGCGCCCGCCCCAGCACCCCTCCGGCAGCACCCCGGCTTGGACTGCCGTCAGACCGCGAAATCACGCCAAGGTTGCACGAAATACAGGCACTGCCCGTGGCAACGGCCGCTTGGTTAACACCTCTTGTCCATTACAGAATCACGGGATCGTTAAGGTTGGAAAAGACCTTTACGATCATCAAGTCCAGCCATCAACCCCACACCACCGTGCCCACTAAACCACGTCCCACAGTGCCACGTCCACACGTTTTTTGAACACTTCCAGTGATGGTGACTCCACCACCTCCCTGGGCAGCCTGTGCCAATGCCTGACCACCCTCTCAGTAAAGAAATTTTTCCCAATACCCAGCCTAAACCTCCCCTATTCAATAATAGAGTTAGCACCCATTTCCAGGAGACGCTGGGAGAAAGTCTGGAAGGACTTTGTGGCCCTCTCCAGTGTCCGGGCCAGGACGTGCTCCTCCAGGGCATGTCCCGGGTGCAGGACCGTGCAGGGTTCTGTATACACACTGCCTTTCCGCGGTTATTTACAGCATTAATTCTGAGTGGCAAGAAGAGAGCAGAGTACTGTATGATACCTGTTGGTTCTTGTGGGTTTTTTCCTTTCACGTAAACAGCAAATTTTGGAGTTACTGATTTAACGAGAATTTATATTCTCTCTCCCAGGATATAGGCAGTTGTAAAGCAGCTTTTTTTAGGCCCGTTAGTAGCAGATTCCTTCGAGACGATCTTATCTGGTTAATTTTATAAGTTGACTTTTATTTCATCCGCAGCTTCTCCTTCCTGGAGACTAGGTTAATGTTCAGCTCTGGCATCTCCTGACCTGTTCTTTGTTATCCCTGCAAACGACTGGAGGAAACATATTTGAACTCAGACCTCTATGACTGAAACTGCAAATTTTGAGCCCCAGAGCGGAGGTTGTGTGCCTCTGCCAGCGACTGCGACGCGGCTGAGGCTGAGCGTCCAGGCTGGTGATCCCAGTTTGCGGATCCTTTGGCTCCTGTGCTAAATGGGAGGGAGACGGGATGAAACTGGGACGCTTCCTCTCGGATTGTTTGGTTCGGCTTTGAAGCAATCCTCCGAAAAGGCTGAGCTCAAAGGAGTCCCCAGGCCTGCTGACTATACAGAGCCCAAGGTGACGCCGGCCCGTCGCGGCGTGCCGGGGGACACGCACGGCCTCGTGTCCGCTGCCGGTGAACCGAACCAGCCCAGCCCACCCTCCAGCCCGCGCAGGCTCAGCGGAGGGGGAGCACACGTCACCTTCTTTCGGAGATGGGCCTGTCTGCAGGACGAGGAGCTGCCTCTGTGTGTGTGGCTTACGGCAAAGCTCTGCCAAGCCGCCACAAACGCTTATCCCAGAAGGCGATTAGCTCTAGGGGAGGCGTTTTTGGAAAACACACTTATTCTGGGAAAACATAACCGGCCTGGTTTTGGTAAAGCCATGTATTGTTTTCAGTTTAAAGGTCCTTCGCTGCTCTGCTGAGCTGAGAATGCGTTTCAACGGGGCTCCCTGTTATTCAAGAGAACGGAGGCACTTCAGTGCCTCTCAGGTGCCACCATCAATAAGAGAAGAGCCCATTTGTGTCACGCCACACTTACATAACAGATAGATGGGATTTAAAATGGGGCTTACAGGGTACGAAAACCGTGTGGCAATCTTTGTTTCTCGCCACCCCCAGCTGCACTACCTCTGCCGTCAGGCCGCCTCCGCGCGTCGGTGGGAAGAGCCCAGGGGCTCTGTGGTCGCTAAGGCTCGCCTGAGCTTCATTCCGGGTTGCAGTTTATCACACCGTGTCCTCCCCCTTCCAGGTCAACCAGCCTCACAGGCCGCCTTCAGAGGCGCCTTCCTTTCAGACCCACCATTCCTGGATGGCGGCTGGCTGTGGGCAAACGGGCCAGTTCATCTTTCCTCTACTCGTGCAGAGCCAACCCCTGTGCCGCTCGCTGCCACGGGGCTGGGCGGCAGCCGCCGTGGCACGTAGTCAAGGTGCGCTTGCGCGGAGCTATGGCTGAAACCTGGGGGTCTGCGGTACGGAGACCCCACGGGGGAAGGAAGGGCAGAGAGGCCACAAGGTGCAGGGAGCTTGCAGAGTTCCGGGTGAGTTTTCAACCCATGAGCACTGGAGCGACAGGCTGGAGAGGGGCTGGAGCCCGCGCTGCTCTTGAACCTCGGATGGACGCTAGCGCGTGGGGTTTTGTGGCAGGCTGGATGGTTAGAAAAACCTGGATTTTAAGGTGAGGCTTGCACTTGTGTTAAGTTTGGGAGACAGGACCTGCTGCTGTGACTAAAGGAGGTCTAGAAGGTGAGGGCTGAGCGGTGGAGGGGGCCGGACCGTGGGCTCTGACCTGGCCAGCAAGCCAGGGGAAGGCCTTTGACACACACTGAGTTTTGGAGATGGTAACCCCGAATAGTTCGGTTTCATCCCAGTCTGGCAGAGTGAGTCTCTCATATTGACAAGGGGAACGAGAGAGCCCTGCTGATATAACCCACTTGCTCGAGCACTTTTGCTCTCCCGTTGCCTGAACTGCAGAGGACCTATATATTTACAAGGACCTATTTAAGGCTATAGAGCATCCCTGCTGCTGCCCAGTGTGCAGGCACATGAGAGCACACTTTGCAGGACAACACATCCACTGGAGTTACTGGCAGTCAAGGCAAACTCAGCTGGTAGTAAATGCCCTGGTGCCTACTGACCACAGTTAAAAACGTCTTAGCATTAATCTGAATTTGCCTGGTTTTAACAGCCATCTCCCTGACCTTTTTATTTCTTACAGCAGGATGCTGAACCCTTTCCAATTTGTCAACATCCTCAGAAAAGCGCTGTAAAATTTTAAAGCTCCGCCTAAATCACAGCCCTGCTTTGTGGACCGTGAGCCAAGTCATCCTTCCCATTTTGCACTGTGCTCAAAACCTAATAAATAACGTTAATCATGCCATCCATTTCCTCCTCAGGGAGTGACTGGTAAATGGTTATTAATGCAGTGATAAATTCTTACGTTTCTTTTCCTGTCCTGGCAGTAATGTCTGGTTATGTCTCGTGATTTTCAGGAAAACCAGTGCCCACATCTGCTCTTTTACTGCACGTTTGTTCATTCACATTTTCTGGACTGCTGCAGGTTTCAGAGCCCCGGTGTTTCCCTGCTGACATCTCTTCCCAGAAGTGTGAAATCAATGTAACGCGAGCCGTGCGGACGCAGCATCGTTTAGCAGCCCGAATCCGCAGGGGCTGTGCTCTCCCCCTCCGCCCCGTGCCGCCTTCCCCGCCTGAGTAAAACGGGGATTAAAATACTTATATTATAACTGAGGTGCGAATTTCGCTCTTTGAAACCTCAGATGCCGATCGCAATACGGGATGTCATCCAAACTCCCCAATACCTTTCAAA